TCCTCAGAACTCCTCAGTTCTGAGGAAGGGTCACCGGACCCAAAACGTTAACTCTGTTTTCTCCTCCACAGATGCTGCCAGACCTGCTGAGCTTTTCCAGCAACTTTGTTTTTGGTCACCCATATTACTGTGGGTATGGAGTCCTGTGTAGGCTAGACGGGGTAAGGATGGCAGATTTCCTTCCATTAATGAAACAGATGGGTTTTTACAACAGTCAGTAATGATTGGCCTGGTCACAATTGTTGAGACCAGTTTTCAGTTCCAGATTTATTTGTTGGATTTGAATCTCACCAGCTGCTACGGTGGGGTTTGAAGCCCTGTTTACCAGAGCACGGACCTGGGCCTTGAAATTGCCAACTGGTGATCTCACTAATCCACCACCACTTCCCTCCTGTGGAGTGTAGATCCCAGAATGGGCCGGTTGTCCTGAATGGCCTGTCAGATAGACGAGACGGGAACAATTTTCATCTCCAGCCCTAGTACTATCTTTGCTTTGTCCAACATATTAGATTAACGCAGACAGGAACATTTGCAAACAAAACAATTTGCATCTGATTTAGCCTTAAATCAATAACTTGCTGGTAAGGGCATGGGGATATCTGGTGGGAGAATGTGATAATGTCACAAAGTGGTTGTAACAAACAAGATAATGGAACCAAATAGTCAATGTAGGAGAGGGAGCTTTACTCTGTATCTAACTCTGTGCTGTCTTTGTCCTGAGAGTGTTTGATTGTCACAATGTCAAGGGAGCTATGATAGCAGTTCAAAAGAGGAAGAGACACTTTCTTCTATATCTAACCCTGTGTTGTCCATGTCCTAGGAATCTTTGATGAGGGTAATGTAGAGGAAGCCTTACTTTGTATCTAGCCCCCTGCAATCTCTGTCCTATGAATTTTCTGATGGAAAATGTACAGAGGGAGTTTTGTGTGGTATTTGAGCAGGTTAATGTTTTGAGTATTTTTATTCTGTCTCCCCCCTCCCCAACACCCAACCACTTCCCCTGCTCTGCTATTTCCAATTTCACAACAACCTCGCCATCCATCAATAAAGAAGGCCCTGCTCAGTATCATGAATTCGCCAACTTGTGTACTGTTGATATTGACCCATTTGCAGGCTCTTTATTTTACTGCCACATTGTACAGAAAGCCCTGCATTGCTACAGCACCTCTCACAACTTCAGGATATCCCAAAGATTGTTATGTACAGGAAAGTAGTGACTGTTGTGATGTGGGAAACTGTGACCCCAGGTGGGAAGAGAGACAGTTGTTACTATTGCTAGCTCTTGTCTTGTGTCTATCAGGAACGCTCAAACTGGAATGAATCCAAGCAGATGTTCGAGTTCCCGTCGAAAGAGCAACTCCAGCAATACCGTGTCATTGCAACCACGCTGATTACAGCTGGAAGGTAAGTACTGAAAATTGTGTGAGGACAGTGACCTTTCATAGAATCCTGTAGTGCAGAACACGGCCATTCAGTTGCCTCATCTGAATGAATGACTCGGCCCTGTTTGCCTTTTACTCCCACAACCCTGCAAGCGTAACCCTACATGTGTTTATCTAATTTCATTTGGAAAGGTTAAAGTACCCTACAGTACAAGCAAGTGAAGAAAAGGACCATTGACAGTGCTGTCAAACACCAGTAACAAAGGATTAACCTGCTCATTGTTTGTTAGTTTGAATTATGCCAGGGCCCCTCTGTTCCTGATCTCATTTCAGCCTCAGCCCAAATATGGAGAGAAGAGCTGAATTCCAGAGCTGAGATGAGAGTGACAGCCCTTGACATCAAGGCTACATTCGACTGAGTGTGGCATCAAGGACCCCTGGCAAAACTGGAATCAAAGGGAATTTGGGGGCAAACTCTCCGTTGGTTGGAGTCATACCTGACACAGAGGAAGATGGTTGTGGTTATTGGAGGTCAGTTAGCTCAGCTCCAGGACACCTCTGCAGGAGTTCCTCAGGGTAGTGTCTTGGCCCAACCATCTTCAGCTGCTTCATCAATGACCTTCCCTCCATTATAAGGTCAGAAGTGGGGATGTTTGCCAATGACTGCACAATGTTCAGCACCATTCGTGACTCCTCAGATACTGAAGCAGTCCGGATCCAAATGCAACAAGATCTGCACAATATCCAGACTTGGTTGACAAGTAACATTCATGCCACACAAATGCCAGGCTATGACCATCACCAATAAGAGACAATCTAACCACCGCCCCTTGATAATCAACATCCTTGAGATTACGATTGACCAGAAACTCAACTGGACTCACCACATAAATGCAGTGGCTACAATAGCAGGTCAGAGGCTGGGAATACTGCAGCAAGTAACTCCCCTCCTGGCTCCCCAAAGCCTGTCCACCATCTAGAAGGTACAAATCAGGAGTGTGATGGAATACTCCCCACTCGCCTGGATGAGTGCAGCTCCATCAACACTCAAAAAGTCATCCAGGACAAAGCAGCCCCCTCGATTGGCACCACAACTACCATCATCCACCGATGGTCAGTAACAGTAGTGTGTACCATGTACAAGATGTGCTAGGGAAATTCACCGAGGGTCCTTCAACATTACCTTCCAAACCCACGGCCGCTTGCATCTAGAAGGATAAGGGTAGCAGATGCATGGGAACACCGTCACCTGCAGGTTCCCCTCCAAGCCACTCACCATGCATCATTGTTCCTTCACTCTTGTTGTATCAGAATCCTCAAATTCCCTTCCTAAGGGCATTGTGGGTCTACCTACAGTACATGGACTGCATGGTTTAAGGAGGCAGCTCACTACCCTGTCAAGGGGCAACTAGGAACGGCAATAAACGTTGGCCAAACCAGCAACACCCATGTCCCATGAGTAAATTTTACGAAAAAAAATCTGCTTCCCCTGGTTTATTTGATAATCATTCCATATTGTCACAGCTTGCAGTGCAAAGGAATCTACCTCTCAGGAAGTTTTAACGATTCCTTTTCCTGTGTTGCTCTGGCTGTCTGTCTACCTCTGGCTCATTGCCCTGGAACTGAGTAGCTTGCTTGGCCATTTGACAGAGCGGTCAGAAGGCAACAACGTCACTGTCGGTTCAGAGTTGACCACATTTCGTCACATATCTCAGACCAGGCAAGAGCAAAGATTTCCTTCCCAAAAGGACATTAGTGAACCAGCTGGGATTTTATGACCATTGTCAGTGCTTTCTGTTTTGCCATTAAGCAACCTTTTAATGCTATATTTTACTGAATTTTGTTGAATTCCTGTGTCACTGTCTTTGATGATGAGATTCAAACCCCAGACCATTTATAGAATCATAGAATCCCTACGGTGCGGAAGCAGACCGTTCGGCCCATCAAGTCTGCACCAATCCTCTGAAGAGCATCCCACCCACCCCACCCTCCAGTAACCCCTCATTTGGCATGGCCAGTCCCCCTAACCTGCACATCTTTGAACTGTGAGAGGAAACTGGAGCATCCACAGGAAACCCATGCAGAAATGGGGAGAACTTGCAAACTCCACACAGTTGCCCGAGGTTGGAATCGAACCCGGGTGCCTGGCACTGTGAGGCATCAGTGCTAACCACTGAGCCACTGTGCTGCCCCCTAATCTGGGGCTCTAAATTACTAGTCCGGTGACAATGCCGTTCCTCCATCATCTTTCCACTCTCGCCCTCCCCAACTTTGTTTATCATGACCTACCCTATTTTGTTCTTGCTCCTCATACATTATAGTATCCAATTCCGTCTAAACACTTTGTCCAAGTGCAACCACATTGATTTAGGATCTTTATATATAGTTGCCATGAAGTGCTTTCAGCTGTTTTGTCAAACAAACTTAATACAAGAGATTCTGCAGGTGACAAATCTTTGGTCAAAGCTGTAGGCTTTCAGCATGTTTTAAAGAAGGATAGAGACGTAGAGAGGTTTAGGGAGGACGTTCTGGAGCTCAGAGGCCCAAGCTGAAAACACAGCTGTTAATAGTGATGATTAATGGAGTTGGAGGAACAAAGAAATCTCAGGGATTGTGAAACTAAAGGGCATCACAGAGATATGACCAGCAATGGGACGGGTTTGAAAACAATGGTGAGAATTTTAAAATTGCACTGAGTGCCAGTGCAGGTCAGCAAGTCGGGGGCTGATTGGCGAATGTGAGTTCGGAAGTGGGCAGCAGAGGTTCGTGTTTCTGGAGGGTGGAAGATGAGTTCAGCTGGAAAAGTTGGAATAGTCAAGTGCAGATGTTAATGTGGGGTTTGCCTACGCTTGAAGTGGGCAGTGTTACAGAGACAGTGTAATTATGCGCTTATGAGCTCCAGGTTTGATATGAATCGTGGGTTGTAAACAGTATGGTTCACCCTCAGTGTTGCTGAGGAGCGGGATGCACTTGGTGGCCAGGCAATGGAGCTTGTTGTTGTGGTCAAGGACCCTCAACCTGGTATTGAACTGAAAGAAGTACCTTGTTTGTATTGCATGTTGGAAAATCAGCCTGCAGAGACCCCAAATGATTCCTGGCTCGGGCCTCTCATTGAACAAATGATCATTCAAATCACGAGCAGAAGGAGGATGTTCGGCCCATCAAGCCTGTTGCACCATTCAGTAGATCATGGCTGATCTGTTTTTGTTCGGAACTCTGATACCTCTTGATTCCTATGCCAAACACAAACCTATCTACTGTTCTGAAGATTTCTGAGTGTCTGAATGGATTTCTGAAGAAAGGTCCCAACCCGAAATGTCAACTTTCCCGCTCCTCTGATGCTGTGTTCCTCCAGCTCCACACTGTGTTATCTCTATCTACCTCTGCCTTGTTTCAGTAACCCCACCTCCACTGCTTTTGAGGCACAGAGTTCAGTGTTTGTAGGGGTTCTTGCCCAACTGATGCATCAACCATTTTGTGGGGGGGGGGGTGGTTTTGCACATGAATAGATCTGGTGATGAGGTGGCCCTTGTGGTTGTTTTAACATGTGAGTGAGATGTGTGTGGTGGGGACAAATTAATTCCATTATAGTTTGTTACTATTTATTTTATCTTTTGAAACAGGTTGGCCTCTGCAAAGTTCCCTTATGGTCATTTTTCGCATGTGTTCATCGATGAGGCTGGGAATGCTGTTGAGCCTGAGTGTGTCATTGCTATTGCAGGTGAGAGTGTCACATTAACCTGTAGAAAACCTCTGCTTTAACAAGGTGTAGAGCTGGATGAACACAGCAGGCCAAGCAGCATCAGAGGAGCAACAAGGCTGACGTTTCGGAGCTTTTCTGTGTTCTGACCCAAATTACTCTACTTTAATACATAGATAGGAAGAGACTGCACAGAAGGTTCAGTATGTACAGGTGCTAACTTAAAACGATTGACATAAAAGCCAGGGGAGATCAAGTTTTTATTTATATGGGGAGAGTTACAATACTGAAAAAAAGGAGCAATGTATCCATATAGTCCCACAAACCTGCATCATTCAATAAGACCATGTCTGACCTACTTTAACTTCACATTCCTGTCTACCCCCTTGTCAAATAAAAATCTCTCAAACTCAAGTCTTGAATATATTCCATCTCCCCTACTCCCTGAAGAAGAGAATTCCAAATATTTGTGATCCTCAGTAGAAATTCCTCCATCCTCAGCTTTTGAAGAGGTCTCTTATTATAAGCTATGCACCATCATCAGAACTTTGCGCCTTTCAGTAAGCTTGCCCCTCATTCTTCCAAACTTGAGTGAATATAGGCCCAAGCCGCACCACCTTTTCTAAAAATGTCATACCCCTTTTGTCAGGAATCAGCCTAGTCTGAAATATTTCCAAGTGCTTCTTTGATCCCCGCTAATGATATACTGGACCAACAAAACCCAGTGTGTAACCTGATTTGATAGATCATAAGTTTAATTTTTGCAGTTGGTTGCCGTGGTACTGAGTCATTGGAAATATTCAAACGCACCCATAGATTTTCTTTAATATGAGCATAAGTTTATTTCAGGAGAGGAAGAGAAAGCTACACTATAGTTTAGGAAGATCTTAATGAAAACCACTCAACAAGGTTTCAACCTTTTTCCCAGCAGTATCCCTTACAAAAACTTGATCCCAGGGAAATATTGCTGCTATCACAGCTCTCTTTCAGTTTACCTCCTTGCACTGCTTAGAAGTTTGTGGAATTTGCTTCTTTTTCACTGTGAGTACTTGTGATCAAGAACAAGCTGCCTAGAAAGGCAGTGGAAGCAGATTCATAGAATCTTTCAAAACTGAATTGGAGAAATGCACAAAATCTCAGTTTTCAGCCTATCTACAGAATTGTAAAGCCCTTATCTCAGGATACATCCCAGTGAACTGCTTCTGTACCATCTCTAGCATCTTCATGTCCTCCTTAAAGTATGGTGCCCAAGTGTTTGATGGGGGACAGTGTAGAGGGAGCTTTACCTTGTATCTAACCCAATGCCGTCTCTGTCCTGGGAGTGTTTTGATGCCTATGTATTTTTGTTGAAGGATTGCTGGATGTGATGGATTTAGAAAGGAACAAGGATGGTGGACTGCTGGTTCTGACTGGAGATCCAAAGCAACTGGGACCAGTGCTGAGGTCCCCCATTGCCATCAAACATGGTCTGGGTAAGTAAGTATGGATTATTGGTGCTTAGTGTGTTCCTCTTTCCTTGTTTACTGCTGCCCTATAGGTGCAAGCTCTTAACTAAGCTGGGCTGACCTGTCAGTGTTGGAAGGGTTCAGTAAGGTCAGGACCGAGAAGATATTTCTACTTGTGTGTGAGACACCAAAGCTAAGGGCCATAAGTAAAGGACAGTCACTAATTAATCCTAGAGGGAATTCAGGTGAAACCTTTTACTGAGAGTGGTGAGTGTGTGGAATTTAATATCACATGGGATGGTTAAGATGAATAATACAGAAACATTAAAGGGGAAGCTGGATAAACACATGAGGGAGGAATCAAAAGTGTTGGTGACAGGATGAGATGGAGGGTATGTGTGTGTCTGTGCATGTGTAGAGCATATCACCCAAAGTGGACTTGGTATGTCCAATGGACTGTTGTAAATACGTCATTCCTTTTGCAGATATCACAAGTTTAGCTCCAAATCTAACCAGTTACTTATTCTTAACTGCAAGTACTTTGTTTTGACAGTTTTGAGGAGCAGGACATTGTGAGTGTCTGTCACCGTGCTACCTCTGGCTGTTCGAGAGTGGCTGTTCGAGAGTGGTGTTATCTTTCTGAGCTTTATTTAATGCATGTCATTGCTTGCACTCTGAGGGATTTTGAACATTGACCTAGCTCACTGGCACCTTCTAGTGGCCAGTCACTGGTAGAGGTTCCCTGGCACTTTGGCAGCGCCCTTTAATGTTGTGAAATGTAGCAGCATTAGACTCTGAGCTGAAGGAGACGGTTGTACAGGTGACCGAACAAAACTGTAATTTACAGCAGAGGAGAGATGTAGATCCTGGGGGAGAGGTTTCTGTTCAGAGTGTGAATTCCAGAGTTTAGAGTCAAGACAGCCGCTGATGGAGA